TCCCCCTTGGTGGTCCCATTGAAAGTTCATATCCAAGGAACTGAGACTCTCCTCATGTCACCTCCCTCCCAGATGCCAGTCACAGCTGGCTCAGAGCTGACCAGGTTCTGATACAGAGAGGGACCCAAGCTCTATCTGGACCAAGCTTTGATGGGGGTTGTCCTTCTGAATATATGTTTCTCCCATTGGTTGATGAATAAAACACGGTGGCCAATAGAGGCAGAGAGAGAAGTAGGACTAGGAGATGAGGAGAATTCTGGGAAGTGTAGGAAGACAGGAGATGCCATGTGATACCAGGAATGTAGGACATGCCAGACCCTTCTCCGGTAAGATAAGGCCATCTGGACATACGTAGGTTAATAGAAATGGGTTAATAATTAAGACAGAGCTAGCCAATAAGAAGCCCTAATCATTGGCCAATCATAATTAATATAACATCTGTGTGTTTATTTTGGATTCAAGGGCCACGGGACCTCCCGGGCCAGCAAACTTACATCAATGAAGTTTATCTTCAGGCATAATGACTGTGCTTGGAAGGTGGAGTGTAGTATTTCCTAAGTATCTCCCAGTTTCCATGTGTTTACAGCATAGCTTATCTCAGACATGGAGAGATGTCACTAGATATAGTCACGGTCTGCTACAGCTGGCAAATCAAGAAGCCCTAGGCTGCTCAGGCTAGTACTAAAACCAACACTGTGAAGTAGAGATACATGTGGGATGATTCTGGTCATTTCCAGACCCAAGGGCTGGCTGTTAGCTGGGACAACAGTTTTGAGAAAACCACAGACTTGTCAAGGGAAAGCCCATCAGGAACCTGGTTGTATCTCTCCACAAATGAGATGTTGAGATGATAAATAAGGGCCTTCCACAACCTCTCCCAGGGGAGTGCCCCTGCAGGCACCCCGACTGACCATTGCCGACTGACCACTGCCCAAGCTGAGCATAGCCTGGCCAAGGCAGGCTGATTCTGTCATCCAAGAAAAACACCTCTCTGCAGTCTGACCACCAGGAATCACTGTCTCTGAACTTCTGCAGTGCATTTCACAGGAACAGGCCTGGTGTGCAATCTCTAGGGCACGGCTTCTTTTGCCAGCACCACAGTTTCACAATGGCCTGGCCGGGTTAGCCACTGAGGATAGCCACAGTCTGCTTATTCCCTGGGGCTATGATGGTCACTCAACTGTGTCAACTTTTAGCTACTACCATTCCTGACATTTTGGGTATCTGTGTGCACGCCTGTGTTAAGACATTTAAGGAACTCAAATGCTCTATTTTCTTGCATTCATGGAATTTTTCATTAAAAGGTTCTTATTACATTTATTTATTTATTGATTGATTGATTGATTGATTGATTGATTGATTTATCTATTTATTTATTTTGTGTGCCATGGGATGGATGTGGAGGTTAGAGGACAACCTATAGCACTTTTTCTCTCTTTCCACCATCTGAGTCCTGGGGATCAAATAAAGTCGGGCTCAGCGGCATGTGCCTTCACCTGCTGGGTCATATCCCTGCCCTTTTCTCCTAAAAGTTTTTAAAAAAATTATATTCACTTACTGATTCATGCATGTGTGGGGGGCGGGGGTGGGGGCAGGGAGTCCATGCCATGGCAGGAGTGTGGAAGTCAGGGGACAACTTGAGGAACTGGTCTCTCCTTCCACGATGTGGATCCTGGGGGCTCAGACTTTGACTGTCAGGCATAGTAGCAAGCACCTTTATCCACTAAGTCATTTCACAAGTGAAAGTTTCACTCTTTTGATGGGATAATTGGATGCAGAGGACTTTTGTGCTTTGGTGAAGTCTAATTTCTTTTCTTTTCTGGTTTTGTTTGGATGGTCATACATAGGAATCTAGCCAAAGTCAAGACAGTGACGATTTACTGATCTTCTGAGGTTTGGACAGCTTTCACTCTTCATATCCTCTCTGATGTCCATGAAGGGTGTGAGGCAGGGGTCCGATGACCATTTTCAGCATGCGGATATCTAGTTGCCCTAGTGACACATGTTGAAAATCCTCTAGGGAGAGTCTCTGGCAACCTAGTGGGAAATAAGCTAACTGTAACTGAGGGCTGATTTCTGTCACTATCAGTTTCTTGTAGCCATCTCTAAGAGTGGAGGTTACTTGCTCCCTCAGCTTCTCTGGATCGACTCCCAAAATAAGGGGCCCCATGCTTACCCAGAAACATAGCAGTCTTCTTCACATGGACCAGTTCTGCAAACATATCTCCCTTTCCCTACTTCCCAGCATAGTCTCCCATTGCCTCTTCTGTGTAAGTCTTGTGTGTTACTGGGAGAAGCACTGTGGTTCCCAAATTGGTATCTTAGAACACTAGGTGTTTTGTCTAGCTCTCAGAGCTTGAGGCAGCTGAGCTGCTGTCCCCATCACTTCAGGTAAATATGGATTTTGCTCATTAACTCTCTGGATGGTGAGAAGAGATGAGGATGGATCCTTGAACCAGAATCTTGGATCTGCTCTGCCTCCCAGCCTATGTTGCTGTTTCTACTAGGAATTGCAGGCTGGCACATTCACCCAGGCATGTGACAAGAGTCACCAACGTCAGCCATGCAGGGAACTTGAAAACCTTCTGAGGGGAATGACATTGGCCACACATAGAAGAGAGATGAGACAAATACGGAGCACCTGTCTGTGGTTGAGGGAACAACTCTCCTCATGCTAGGACTGCTTGCTACCCCACCCCAGCCTGCCCACTTGCCAGGCTCTCAGGAGAGCCTCCTTGGGTCTAGATTGGACCCCCGTGGTCACTGCTTTTCAAAGAGCTCCAGTACCCTGAGCATTTCTCCTCCAAAACTATCAAGTGCGTCTTTGTCCTCTACCCACTGACACCAGCCATGTCCCTTTATTTGGATTTCTTTCCAAAGGAACCTCATGAGAACTCAGCATAGGGGGAGGCAGCCCCTCTTTGCTTTGGCCAGAGGGAGAGTGTACAGTTTTCTGCCGAGAGCCCAGCAAGGGTCTCAATCTGCAAGGCAGCACCGTGAAGGGGGCAAGACCATGTGGGATAACACTGAACAATAACAATCCCAGCCAGTGCTGCCAGGGCTGGCTCGGTGGCCCACAAAGCATAGCCCTAAGGTTATGTCTGCTTGCTTATATTTGTGATAGGATGGGAAACCCTGAGGCAGGTGACCCGACTGCTTTCAACTCTCCTTTTTTTGTGAATTCTGCAAGGTGGATCAATGCCTGCTGGTACACCGGGTCATGATGCCAGAGACTGGCTTCTGCAGAATTGCTTCAGCCCGACTCAAGGCCAGGGAAGAGCACGCCTATGAAGTCAGCTTCCCCATCAGTTCCCTCTTTGCACAGAAAGGACCTTCACTGGTGAACTCTTCCTCGCTCAGGAACGCACTCAAATACTCCCTCAGGTTAGCATCCTTGCCCAGGCGAGGCAGCCTAGCATTCACAGCACTGTGGCGTGGGGAGTGGGGCCGCTTAGGGAGGCTATGGACCATATACTTTGAGATTTGATCTCCCTTATACCTGCCTACATCTGATGCACCTCATTTATATGAATGAATGAATGAGTGAGCAAGTTTATCAACAGCTACAAAGTCAGCCAGCAAGACAACATGTGACCACCCACCAGCAGCCATGGGCCACCACTTTTGCTCCTGAATTCGGGGTTAGCATAGACCAATCCAGGCTAAACATCACTGGTGCTCAATGTTAACCGAGCCACTAGGGCCCAAACTGTCTTCAGCAGACACAATGGCATGCAAGGAAACTTATTATGCACACAGAGCAAGAAAACAGAAAAGCAAAAATTAAATTAGAGGGCAGCCAAAAAATGCCCACTGTGCAGAAAACTCAAGCAAACTAATTTGTTTGGCCTCCCTTGAAAATGGTGAGGTTTTAATTTGAGGCTCTGAGACCCAGCTCCTAAGGCACCAGCAGGCTGCTTGGGGGAAGGGACAGGGATTTGGTTTCAGACAGGCAGATCCAGATTCAATTAGCATCAGTCCAGACCCCATCTCCCCAGGCTGATGGAATGAGAGAGAGAAGGCAAAGTGCTGTATCTGGGAGCGCCACACCACCCCTACCTGGTCCCACTAAACCAATCTATGTTACCAAGAGGCTGCTTCCACTCTGTCCACAAGGATCAAGACGCTGGCCCCTTGAAAATTAGGGTGCTCTGAACTCAGTCCTTAGACCCCACTAGCTGTGTATAGGGTTATCCATGGAGCAGGCAGCTTATGGTTGTTCCAGCACCCTCTGCCTCGGTCAGCATGCTCAGCCTCACTCTGCACTTTCCTGGGTGCTACAGACAGTCTTCAAGCCCTTCCAAGTCGGCAGCAGGAGTGTGGGGTACCCACAGCCATGGTTGTCTATGGAAGATGCTGAGGGAGGTCAGGGTTTGGTAAGTTTACGATACTTCTTTACTATACCCTTGGGTCTCCAAAGGAGGGCAGGACCCCAGTCAGGGCAGAGCTAACCCTGAACCCCAAGCTACACAGGGAAGCTAAGATCTGAATTTCTTGCCTTAGTTTGAGCAAACTAAAGCCTGGCCAGATACCCAGCCAGATTTGAGATCCACAGTGGGTACTATTTGGGATCTAACTCAAGATGGTATCATCCCTGTTCTGACCATCCCCCAGTTCTGCTGATCTCTTTCTCAGTTGCCTTCCTGACTTTGGGGAACAAGGATCACACTGATATGGCCTGGCTTGTTACAATAGATATCTTGGTGGTCTGAGAACAGAAACCATATCTGGTTGGAGACTTCAGGTGTTTGATACCTGGAATCATGGAGCCAGTGGCCACTCCCATGTGTACAGGACATGCTGCCCATGGATACAATCACACAAGATATGCCAGCGCAATGAAAGACTGTCCAGAGGCCTGACCCTAGGGATACTCCTCAAGGTCTTAGCCTCAGAGCATTCTGAAGAAAGCTCATTCACAGTGATGCCTGCTGGCACAGACGCCCTCAAAGACTGGGTTCAGCACCCTGAAGAGCCACCAGAAGTCTGGGAGTTCTTACCGTCCACACAAGCAGGCCGGGCTCGCGTGGTGCCTGCAATCTGCCCCTTCCTGCATGCGCAGCGTGCTGTCTGCCGGGCAATCGTCCTCCGTGGCTGGCTGCTGTCCCGGTCTAGGGTCACAATCTCACAGGTTCCAGCGGCCAGCTGACCTGCAAGGAAGGAACAACCACAGGCTTGAGTAGCCACTCCCTAGAGAATCACACCCTGAAGCCCACCCGAGCACCCACATAGAATGGGGTCCACCACAGCTGGCTCAGCCAAAGAGATGCGAAGAGGGCTCTCTGTGACAGCCGGTTACCCATCTTCTGTACACTCTGCCAGGGAATCCAGTCAGCCTATCCCAATGGACAGGAAATTAAATGCAGCCCTCTCCACCACATACGGAAATGAAACCTCAGAATGAAGGAGGAAGGTGCTGCCTCGCTCTCCTCCTCCACACACTTGAATTTCACAGAAAAACCACCTGCCCAGAGCACAGGGTCCCAAAATCAAGCCAGGCTCTGCAGCCTCCATCCCAATATGTCAGCATTCTACCTGCAGGATGTGCTATCTTGGGAGTCACAAAATGGGGCAACCAACAGTGTATAGGCTACCTACCATATTGCAAGGAAGAAATATCATCCCCACCTGGGCACAGAAGCCAGGAGAGTCAGTGACCAAGTTATATATTTCCTGAAGGCCTGCACATGCTAATGCACATAGAAAAACATAAGAGGCACACATGGACATACAGCAGAGATGTTACAAGTCACATGCCTGGCTGGCAGATATGGGGAAGGCTATTCAGGTATATACAGCAGATATTCATGTGAGAACACGCATTCCATATAGACACAAACTTGCAGGTATGTCATATGCTGTGTAGATACTCATGTATATACAGGTACACACAAGTTCCCACATGTATACATACACCTAGATTCACAAAGATTATACGGATGTGTCAATATACACACACAAGCTTCAAGGATTATATTTATGTGCACACACGCTAACAGGTGGGCCCATGTAGACATGCAGTCTCACATGCGTGTACCCATCTGCATTCAGGAGCACAGAGGCTACAATGGTACGCCAATGTAAGCATGTGTGAAACAGTGGCAACTCAGGTAGACGCATGCTTTATGTATGCCTCTGTGTAAATACACAGGTACACAACTCCACTTACATGCTTTATGTAAGTTCCCATGCAGACACACAGGTACACATGGGCACACTCAGCTTCACATGTTCCAGGTATTGCTCCGTGTGGACACACAGGTACATTAGGTACACACAGGCACACGTGGCCCTGGACTGACCCTAGAAAAAGAGACATGTTTCTCCAAGGCCCCAACCTCACCTCAGGAGAGGGAATCCCAGTGGGAAATAAACCCCTGTAGTTTAAGCTGTCATTGCATGGCCAATATCAGTAAGTGCTAAAGAGCAACGCTGTCCAATAAAGATAGCGTGGTGCTCACAGTGGGCCATAAAAATGAAACACTGGCCACCTTGAAGGAGGAGAGGGCATCCCTCAGCCTGGCTGGTGCTGCCACATTCATCCCGGCATGGTAAGTCCAAAGCCCCTCCATCATGAACTTCACAGCCTCATTAGGACCAATTCACAGAAACCCTGGAACACGTCACTCACTCATCACCAGGCTCTTCCATCCACTCAGCACACAGTAATTACCTACTTCTTGCTGCCCTTGTGGGTACCAAGAGACTTCCCGGCACATGGTATACCTCCCTCGGGAGCTCCTTCTGGCTACAAGGCACATCACAGAGATGCTAGATGTGAGAATCCCACCTGCCTAGATGAACGCCATACAGGTATCAGCAAGAAATAGCACAGGGTCACATGGACAGAAACACACAAGACTAGAAAGAAAGTGGAACAGGAACACACAAGAGTGGCCATCTGATTTGCATCCAGATTGGCGGTTAGCTCTCACAGCTTGTCAGCAGAAGTTCATTCAACTCAGCGTGTCCCTCTCACCACAATGATCCTTTTGCTACTGTCACCAAATACCCTTTCCCCAGGTAACTAGCTCCTGCTCTGTGTCAGCCTTGCTGCTTGAGTTATCCAGCCTAACCCAAAGCCTGGCTACAGCAGGTATCACACACATTAGCAGGAAGTATGAGCATGGTGGCTCATCTCCAACAGCCCAGCAATGTCCAGGCTACCAGGAGCCTGGGGCATGCCCTGTCTGGATGTGACCAGGGCTGCAGGGGGATACCTCCAAAGGCCAGGTCTCTTTAGCAAGACAGGGCTGGGAGGAGCTGTCCAAGGTGACTACATTCAGCTGCTCATATCCATGCAGCATGATGACAGTTCCTGGCTGGTGTGCCAAGTTCATGTTGGGAGAATGGACCAGATGCATTCAGAGGAAGGATGGGACAGCTATCCCTGAGGACTCTTGAGCTGCCCCTCCTGCAAATGCCTGTGCCTTCTCCAGCAGAATGCAAGGCCCCAGCAAGAGCTGCCTTCCCCAAGCTACAAGTTTTGGCTCATTCTACCCAATCATACCCTGAATTACACGCCGTTGCTAAGAAGCAGGCAGAAGGAAACCAATGCACTTGACAAGTTAGGAGATGGGCAAGGCAGGAGGAGCATCAGGAACACCAATCACTCTAGCACTGATCCCAGAACCAGAGCACCAGGCCTGATGGGAGCTGAAGGACAAACCGGCAGGAAGCAGACAGTACACTCTTCAGCACACAAGAGAGAAGTGGTTTCCTTCTTGTGCTTGCCACTGCAGTGTGTGGATGGACGGCCATGTAGGCATCACCCCACACTGTTATTTAAAATTGGATTGGCAGATTGGCTCCAGTCACTTTGCTATTCCCGCCCAACTTGACCCACTGTGACTCTGGCCAAGGTGTATAGTGTTTGGGACACCTTAGTGCATATGGCTCCTCTAGGCATGGCCTGGACAGCTGTCTAGAGCTATCCAGCTAGGGTCTGTCTCAACAAGGGTTTTGAAGGTGGGGGAATACTACCAAATCAATGACATCTTATAGCTGTGGTGGCTCCTGGACACTGGGCAAGTCTGCCCTGGGCCCCATTTCTAGTTCCCTATCAGCAGGAGATCCAAGGTCATGTGGGATGGTCAAGAGGCCATGCACATACACCTGTCTGCAAAGAAGAGGCGTGGGAGAGACAGTGGATCCCAAAAGTTTGAGGTGTTCTGTCACTGGAGAAAGAGACAACATAATTGGGCAAGTGCCACATAACCAGGAAGCATCCTTTCACCCCCTCCCCCAAGGATATGCCCAATCCTAATTTACTAGGCTCTATTTGCACTCAGGTGCACGTAACTGTGATAAGAAATTCCCTCCATGACCAGCTGACCTCACTTAACATGTTCCTAAGTCACCCTTCCACATAGGCAGTGTGACCTTCCATTGTTCAGAGATTGTGGCTGTCCACAGGATACCACCAGCCACCTTCACACTGTCCTGCATGGGAATTCCAGAGCGGTATCACTAGCCCAGTGTTTGATAGATAGACACCATCTCAATTACACCACTTCTCTCTGTGTCTGCACTGTCTACAAAAGATCTACACCCCATCACCAGATAGTGGGTAGATGGTGAATCCAAGTTCAGTGGAGTTGTGATTTACAGAGCCAGGTTAGAGCCTACAGACCTGAGTCATCTGCAGCAGGGGCAAGGGACTGTATACTCAGGACCCCAGCTATCTCTTTAAGAAAGCATCCTGGGAACAGGCTGTCCTCCATTTGATCTCAGCCTGTCCTGTTTGCCCACTGTGGTCTCTGAGCTCAGGATCTCTGGGAATGTGCCTCTTTTAGCATGAGAGATAGGCAAACTTGACTGTTGAGTGCTTTGAGCTTTCAGTTCCTGGTCTTTTGGTGCAAGAGGTTCCTGCAGGGCTACGCCATGGGCCACAGCCCACTCATGCCCTTCACCAGCAAGTAGCGACGGTGATCATAGGTGTGCCTTGACGCTGGCTCAGATGTCAACTCTGCCTTCCAACTGAGCACTGGGATTAGGTCTTGGCACAGTTGTATGATAAACACACATGTTCTCTGCTCTGCTAAGTGCTGATGACAACTGAATGAAATCCTGGGACTTCCTCAAGGCAAAATCTGACACTGTACAGTGACCTATCAGAATCTGATGTCCCCCTATGTTAGAATCCCAGCATTGGTTCCATACCACACAGGCTGTGATCTGAATCTTGTCCTACATTTCACAGGTTGGGTTCAGATATCAGCCCAACACTTAATGGGGCCCAGTGATGACACGGGTCTAGGGGAGTCAATGGCTATACTTTCGCTAGGCATTCAAGCCCTGTCCTCCTTCTCCTGTGTCTCTAAGCCCTGAAGAAACACTCCTTTTGGGTTATGTCATACATCAGGATGGCACCAATGCTCTGCAACAAGACCAAGGCCATAATGGACACATCTGCACAAAGAGATTCCCAGAGCCACATTCAGCCCTCCGACTTCCTGGGTCTCTAGGATCCTGGTAACCACAGGAAGGAGCAACAATGAAGGCCAGACACCCATAGATGTTCAGCCACTCTAGCCATTTTCTATTTTCTGAGAGAGACACAATCTTCCCAGAGGATATAGCCAGATCCAGGGAACAGCAGATTGAAGAACACAGATAGGATAGGTAGGATAGGTCTCACTAGAATGTCCAGCCACTCCTCAGACCAGCAGGTTAGGGCTAGCCAGGTCAATAAAGAGTATCCTAAAGACAAATTTTGCAAACCCTTTCCCAAATGCTGTCTGAGAAAGGCAGGAGATAGCTTCCACACCTGTACAAGATTTCATGTGGTCATAGCCGAGGCCACTGGCTCCAGATAGGGAGACAAGGCTAGCCCTCAGTGGCCATTGTATAGATAGGGTTTCCAGAGCAGGGGCAGAAAGTCCCTGGGGTCAGTAAGAAGCAGGGACCCAGGTTCTGCCATGTAGCACCCCCCCACATGGGGTATACCAACGAGCTCTTTAGTCCCATGGGGTTGTGACATATATCTGAGAAGATATATGATCTGACGGATGACAGGATAAAGTGATTCAAAGTGACTATGACAGCTGCAGAGTGCGAGGGTGGCATTTAACAATCATAAGTGTCAGCTCCTTGTTTGGATTAGGATGAAAACAAGGTGGAGTACAGAGGCCAGGGAGGCCCTAGAGCT